AATTCGAAGCAATATTCAAAGCGATACAAAGGGGTCATGTGAAGATAGAAGCCACAAGTGGTGACCTTGAAAAGCAAAACAAAAAATATCACAAGTTTGTGTGCCTTCTAATTCGGAACTCGGCCTTCGAACATAAACTGACAGCTAGCAAAACTTGCTCTCCTTCTATCTATCTCCTTCACGATTGTGATATGAGGACCTCCTAACGCTTTTTTTAGTCATCCACAACCGGTTTGCAATCGCAAGCAATCACCAGATGATCCAAAGACAAATCAGCAGCTAGTGCCAAGGCCTCACGTCATGCTATGGTTTCAAGAGTTGTTGGATTATTGACTAGCTAGAATGACTGCTGAAGATCCGAGGTAATTACGTTCATCTGTGCACATTGCCGCAACTACACCAACACAACCACTGTTGAGACAATCCACCATCTACATAGATCTTTATGTGGATGCTCAGAGGAGGCTTCCTAGTATTTGGTGTGATGATTGCACGTACACGTCTCCTTGGTGTGTCCTCTTCAGGCCATCCAACTCGGCAACGAATCTTTCTATGAAGAGGTGTGTCGACATCGGGCTTTGGAATATGGACTCATCTATTGCTTTTCTTCGTGTTGTCCAAACCGCCCAAAGAGTGACAACCATCTTCACGAAGTCCACATGCGATAACGATTTTGTCATTTTAAAGAGCCAATGTTTCGCACCGGATTCGTGTGACTCAAAAATATGATCAGTTAATTCTTCATAGCCTAAAGCCCAAACACATCTCGTAGCAGTGCAATCGATCAATGAATGCCTCCATGAATCAACACCCCAACAGGTTTGGCAACAATCCGTGCACTCATCTTCCTATGGCGACGCACATTGAGGGAGTCCTGAATTAGGGGGTCTCCGGATAGCTGGACTATATCCTTTGGTCGGATTGTTGGACTATGAAGATACAAGATTGAAGACTTCATCCCGTGTCTGGATGAGACACTTCTTGGCATGGAAGGCAAGCTTGGCAATACGGATATGTAGATCTCCTCCCTTGTAACCGACTTTGTGTAACCCTAGCCCCATCCGGTGCCTATATAAACCGGAGGGTTTAGTCCGTAGGACAACAGACAATCATACCATAGGCTAACTTCTAGGGTTTAGCCTCTACGATCTCATGGTAGATGAACTCTTGTAATACTCATATCATCAAGAACAATCAAGCAGGACGTAGGGTATTACCTCCATCAAGAGGGCCCGAACCTGGGTAAATATCGTGTCCCCTGCCTCCTGTTACCATCCGCCTTAGACGCACAGTTCGGGACCCCCTACCTGAGATCCGCCGGTTTTGACACCGACATTGGTGCTTTCATTGAGAGTTCCATTGTGCCGTCACCGTAAGGCTCGATGGCCCCTTCGATCATCGGTAACGATGCGGTCCACGGTGAGGTTTTCCTCCCCGAACAGATCTTCATATTCGGTGGCTTCGCACTGCGGGCCAATTCGCTTGGCCATCTGGAGCAGATCGAGAGCTACGCCCCTGGCCATCAAGTCAGGTTCGGAAACCTAAACTACACTGCCGATATCCACGAAGACTTGATCTTTGATGGATTCGAGCCCATGTTAGGTGCGCCGCACAATCACGACGAGCATGACGTAACTCTGCCGTCGGACAGTGTTCGGGAGATCGCATCTGCAACTACTCTGGCCTTCAATCCGGAGCAAATTGAGCCATCCGAGGACGGAGGGATGGACCCCGCCATGGAGGCCGCACTCTCAGTGGCGATGGAGCCGGATAATGATTTCACCCCTTATGAGAGCCGTGTTGCCAAACCACTGGATTCGTCTCCAACACGAACTCCGAGCCGCCTATATCCGTGCCTATCGAATCCGATTGGGCGCCGATCATGGAGTTCATCTTCGCGGATATCTTTCAGCACTCGCCTTTCGGCGATGTGCTAAATTCATTAAGGTCTCTCTCCTTGTCAGGAGAACCTTGGCCAAACTATGTCCGGCTTGAATGGGATGCGGACGATGAAGAAATTCGCTGCCCACCCACCACCCACTTAGTAGCCACTCTCGAGGATTTAATCGACATGCTCGACTTTGACTCTGAAGACATCGACGGTATGGACGATGATGTAGGAGACGAACAAGACCCACCACCCACAGGACGCTGGGCCACCACCTCATCATATGATATATACATGGTGGACACCCCCAAAGAAGGCAATGGTGATGAGACAGCGGAGGATGACCCCTCCAAGAAGCAACCCAAGCGCCGACGTCAGTGGCGCCGGTCTAAGTCCCGCCACAACAAAAGTAGTGATACCGGCACAAGAGACAACAACACTCCGGATAGTGCCGAAGACAACCACAATCCCCTCCAGCACGATGTAGAGCGGGAGGGTGAACAAGCTGGCCCTCCAGAGCAGGCAGCAAATGGAGAATCGGAGGAGGACAATTACATGCCTCTCTCCGAAGACGAGGTGAGCCTCGGCGACGAAGAATTCATTGTGCCTGAGGATCCCGTCGAGCAGGAGTGCTTCACGCGCCGCCTTATGGCCACATCGAATAGCCTAAAGAAAAATCAACAACAGCTTCAAGCTGATCAAGACTTACTAGTAGACAGATGGACCGAAGTCCTTGCGTCGAGGAATACGAACTCGAGCGCCCCTCCAAGAGTTACCCAAAGCGCAGGTTGCTACCTCACCTCGAGGAGGAAGCATTGAAACCCACATCACCAGTGTACGATGCAGCTGACCGGCCACCTCGTGGCCGAGCTAGAGAGGCGTTTCAGCCTGAAGTTCAGCCTGCACCCCGCCGCCACTCAAACAAAAATACCAAGGC